GCTCCCGGTGGTGGACACAGCAGCCACCTCTATGCCCCAGCTGGAGCAGCGCTCCCCAAGGTGTGTGTCCAGGGAGCCCCGGCAGTGCCTCACGCTCAGGCCAGGGTCGTTTTCCTGGGAACGCTAAGATGTCATCTGGCCCTTCCGAGCTTCTGCGAGCACAGAGATACCTTTTCCAGAGAAACGAAACCACAGGACAAGTGATATTTGCAACAGGCTGAACACGAAAGCAGACACGAGGACCAGATGTCCGCTATTAAAGCCAGACGGGAAGAGGGTTGCCACACCGCAAACGGTGACGGTCCCCTCTCTGCGCTTTTTCATTACGGAAAACACGGGCTATTGTTTTTCCTTTTCTGTCATCAAAGCTATTATTTGTGAGAGCGGCTGTAGCCACGCACGCCTTTGATCCCAGCACTCGGGAGGCAGAGACAGGTGGATCTCTGTGAGTTCGAGGCCAGCCTGGTCTGCGTGGAGCTCCAGGACAGCCAGGGCTACAATAGTGAGACCCTGTCTCAAAAATTATTTACGTTAAGGCGTAACCAAGTGGGTCATTGTTGGCTTGACAGGGCCAAACCCTCTGATTGCAATTTGACCTTCCACCTTTCCATAGGAGGGTCCACCTGGGTTAGGTCCCGCCCATCTGCCAATCAGTCTGGGCAGCGCACTGTGCCCCAGGGGGTCCCCCTCCAGCTCCAGGAGGGCCCCCCCTTCACAGCCAGTGGCCTCCAGGCACTGATCCATCGGTCCCCGGCAGTCAACGAGGGAAGTCTCTTTGGAGGAACACCCGTGGGTGCTGTTGCCCTCGCAGCTGTAACACTGGACGCCATTCGGTGGTAAGTCCCGAAGATTTAGAACTTGAAGATGAAAAAGACAGGGATGTAAGATGAGCATCGGGACCATGCACGCAGCCGTTCCATCGTCTGCCCACGCTCAGCCCGAAGTGCTAGCGCGCCACCTGGAGTTGGAGTGTGGGAACTACACTTTCTTTTGGGGGTGGGTGGGTCTTGTTCTCTAGGACTGCGCCCCACCCATCGGGCTAGGCCTGATGGGGGACCTTAACTATTTTTTTAGATTTATTTATTTATTATGCATACATCATTCTACTTCCATGTCTATCTGCACACCAGAAGAGGGCACCAGATCTCATAACGGATGGCTGTGAGCCACCATGTGGGTGGTGGGAATTGAACTCCGGACCTCTGGAAGAGCAGCCAGTGCTCTTAACCTCTGAGCCGCCTCTCCAGCCCCTTAACTATGTTTTTCAAAACCAGCCCCACCCTCTCAGAAGTTACCATACAGAGCAACGTTGTTCACTGCGGCAGCCACTGGCCACCTGTGTTTGTTTCTTAAGGTTTAAATCAATTCGCGTTAATTAATTTAAACCTAGGGCTGTTGAGGTGACTCAAGGCCAACTCTGATGCCCTGAGTTCAATCCCCAGGACCCACATGGTGGAAGGAGAGAGAGAACTGACCCCTGAAAGTCGTCCTCTGACCTCCACACATGGACCATGGCGTGCTCAGCTGTGTGCATGAACATACATACACCCACAAAATAAATGCAAATTTAAAAACCAAATGATATGTGTGTGCACCACGTACATGCAGAGCCCAGAAAAGAGCACCGGATCCCTTGGCATTAGAGGTGGCTGTGAGCCGCCCAACCATGGGTGCTGGAACTGAGCGCAGGTCCCTAACCACTCTTGGTGCTGGGCCATCTCTCCAGCCCCAATGCAGACAGAAGATGTCTCTGACTTTGGGAACTCCTGTTGGGCAGAAACAGGATGTCTACAGTCCTAAGATTAAAGACACTGCCCATCACACCTGGCTTTTCTCTTCATTTTCTGAGTCAGGGTCTCATGTACCGGGCTATCCTTGAAATTCACCCTGTGGGGGGTGACTTCAAACTTCCGAACCTTCTGCCTCTACCTCTCTGGAGTGCTGAGACTGTTTCGGGTTCAAATAAAATAATATTGAGTAGTGTTTAGGACTGAGATGGCTCAGAGGGTAAAAGGGGCTTGTTGCTAACCCTGAGGACCTATCTGACACGAGCCGGGACCCGGCTTCCCCAGGAATCAAAAGCAGGGTTTTGCATAATGTTAACACCCTTTTGTTTTGTTTTTGTTTTTTTGAGACAGGGTTTCTCTGTGTAGCTTTGGAGGCTGTCCTGGAACTCACTCTGTAGACCAGGATCTCGAACTCACAGAGATCCTCTTGCCTCTGCCTCCTGAGTGCTGGGATTAAAGGCGAGTGCCACCAACACTCGGCTAACACCTTTTTTTATTTTATTTTTGTTAGATTTTATTTATTTATTTTTTATGCATGCAACATTCTGCTTCCATGTATATCTGCACACCAGAAGAGGGCGCCAGGTCTCATTACGGATGGTTGTGAGCCACCGTGTGGTTGCTGGGAATTGAACTCAGGACCTCTGGAAGAGCAGCCGGTGCGCGTAACCTCTGAGCCATCTCTCCAGCCCCCACCTTTTTTTTGTTTAAATAAAGGATTTATTTATTGTAGTTTGTGTGTGCGGGTGCTTGGCCTGCACGTGCATCCCAGTACCATATGCATGCAGTGCCCACGGAGTCCAGAAGAGGGCGAGAGATTCCCCTGGAACTTTTCTACAGAAGTGGGCAGCCACCGGGGTGCTGGGATTTAAACCAGGGTCATCTGCAAGTGCAGCCCGCGCCCTTTGGCCTTAACTTCATGCTTGCTGACTGTGTCGGGACACCACAGTGGCCGGGGCAGCCTGGCTCTACCTTCTCTGGACTCACAGGGCTTTGTCACCAGACAGCTGTGGCCA